CACACACACACACACACACACACACGAAGACCCAGAGACATATTATGAATTAATTTTCACTGACTTATATCACTGTTGAAAATGTAAGTATGAAGTGGACAACATGCAGGAACCATCAAAATAAAGGTCAAGAATAAACAAGAGCCTCAAGGACGACTGTGGATTTGTTGTGTTTCATGGTGCGTTCAGAGGCAAACAGGAGTTTAAAGCTACATGAGCTGAATGTTTGGCCACTAGGGGGCGATGATAAAATCTGGAAACATTGGAACAGACTGTGGCTGTGTCTCAATTCGGGGGTTTGTGTCACACCGGTGCAACGACACTGTCCCATTTCGAAGGCTCCGTAAAATGCGGCCGACAAACGTCTTCGTCCCTCTCAGATAAATGAAGGCTCCAACGATCTTTAGCGGCTCAAACCTTCCCAGGATTCATTGCGCTTCGGTGACAAACTGTTTTTCAAAGAGGTAATGGCTTCGAGTATTGAGCTTCAACTCAACAGCTAAAGGTTCACACGTTTAAAAAAACAAAACAAGGGGCACTAAAGCTTTCGTGTCCTGTCCGAGCCTCCCTCGGGGGCCGGGTCGACGGCGTCCTCAGGAGGAGGCGGCCCCTGAATTGAGACACGGCTGTAAAGTTATGTGTAGAGGTCGATCCACAGCATCCAGGAATGATCAGTTTTGGCTAAAGTTGATTGAACATTCACCCACTTCATCTTTCCTTCACATCACATTGAAAGTTTGAGTTTGTAAAATGAATAATTCCAAAAACAGAATCTCCAAAGTTTGTAAAAGTCTGTCGGCCAAAATGAAAAGACAAAAATGTTTTAAGTGTCTTTTTTTATGCATTTCTTATGTTTTTCATTATCTTTGCATTTCCTGGACTTTTGGAAGTGGAAACAAGTTCTCACGTCCAATAAACCTTTCACAAAACCCGCCTTTCTTTTCCTCTTAAGTTCTGCAGCGATGAAGCGAATATAAAATATGTTTTCATACTAATCCTGTGATCTTTTTCTTTGGTATCTGTCTCCCCCTGGTGTGTGAAAGCTGAGTTGCACTGTGATTCTGTTCTGATCTGTAAAGAGATGTATCACTGCACGTGTATCGACTCACGGTTATTTCTCTGATGCCCATTTCAGAGAACACCTTCCTCACGAGCTCGGGAGGACAAGGAGAACCGGCCATGATGCCTACAGGACAAAAAAAATAAAAGTAAACTGTGACGCTCACAGTGTTTGAAAACAAACAGGTTGATGAACAAAAACACAAAACCAACAGCTAATGTGTGTTTTGCTCAAATGAATGAAAACAGGATGTCAGGCTCTTTTCTCACCTCCTTCTAATGACGACAGGTCATATTTAGCCAAGTCCGGCTGGTTAACCATGTCCACGTACATGGTGGGGGTGCCGTAGATGAAGGTGCACCTGTGAGGGGAATGAACGGAAATCTTCTTTACTGACAAACCTCAGAGACCAAAATGTGACAACTTCTGGAATTTCTTTAACTTTCACACTCAGAAGCTTTTGTTTAAGAAAAGCAAATCTGCTCCAAACTGCAGCACAAGTTCCTCTGAACACGAATGAATCCACGGTCGGATCACAAGACAGACGCTTCCAACATTTGTCACTACAGATGTTTTAAGACTTTACATTTGAATTTTTCTGAATGCTTCACTTCAACCAATCACATGAGACATGTTCCTATAGTCAGTGGACACGGGGGCAGTGAACAGTCGATTCAACTTTAAACCGAAGAGGCTAAAACTTCTTATGGCAAATTCTGACACAGAAAAACATGAATTCCTGAATAAAAAGTTTTTGGGCAAATCCGCTCTTTTATCAGGGGACAGTCGGGTGTTTCCCATCATGCCTTGCACTCATGCCGACGTGGGAGAGAGACTGTGACGTCCTGCTGCAAAGATGTGTAATAATAATTCATATAAACTAAGTAGATGATTTGATTATTTACACGACTTTATATTTAAACGTAAACTGACATTGATCCCGACGTTACCTTTCGCTCTCCACAGCTGCTAGGTTGGCCTTCCCGTCATAGCCGGCGGACGGGAAGACGAGGCTGACGCCGTGAAGGGCCATACACAGGCCCCCCCCCACAGAGCCGAAGCAGTGGTACAGGGGCACGGGCAGACAGATGCGAGTGTGAGGCTGCACAGACAAAAAACAGCAGATTCAAAAAAGTCTCAATGTATTTCAGGAATCAGAAGAGCTGTGCAGCTGAAACTGGGTCACCCCGCCCCCACTTCCTGCGTGTGGATCGTCTCCAACTTCAAACAACAAGTTTGGTTGAAGCAGTTTCAGGAGGATCACTTCCTGTTTCTGTAAAAGTCAGCTCCAGACAAGAGGTGTGTCGTCTCTGTGTTGTGATTGTAAAACATCACCATTAACTTTCAAAGTTTCACTTTCAGGTTGAATAAGTTGCCGATGGCCGGACACCGAAGATTTTAGCAAATGTGAGGAACTTGTTTGTGGGGGACGGAGTCCGAATATTGGATTTCACATTCAGAAATACTCAGGTATTAACATGAGACCTGATCACAGCTCTAAGTTCATCTGTTCACACGCTGATGATACCGGAGGTCAGCGACAGACTCACCCTCCAGGTGTATCCAACTCTTCTACCCACGAAGTAGGCGTTGTTGACAACATTGTGATGAGACAGCGTGGCTCCCTTTGGACTCCCAGTTGTGCCCTGGTGATGAACGTGTTGACAAGGTCACAAGCTGCTTTTATCACTTTCTTATCACTTCTTATGTCGTAAAACTACGTCTGCCACAAATACCGAAGTGAACAGGATATTTATCGGGTCGTCGAACGATAACTTCTTCTGCAGATCCTGCAGCTGCAGCATGAACTGGCTGCTGCCCGCCTGCATCACGTCCTCCAGATGAAACATTCCTGGCTGTCGACTGTCTAGAACGATCACGGAGCGCAGATCTGGCAGCCTGAGGGGGAAAAACAGAATGTGGGTCACGTTACATAACTGAGGCGCTCCAAGTTAAATGATAAATATTTGGCTGCTTGTTCTTTCTCACTGTAAACACAGACACAGAACGTCATGCAACTCATGTTGACGTCATGTTTCGTTTGCAGCATTCATTTATTCAAATGTCTCGAGGAGGATTTTAATATCCTTCTAATAAAATCCTCCTGTGAATCTGTCCAGTGGTTTTTACATCATCGCCAAAACAAACAAACAGACAGGGGTGAAAATATAACCTCCAAGGTGATGATGTCATCGTGACGTCATTTGTAAAATGTGATGACCAACGATTAGTTCATGCAGGTTGTGTCTCTCCTCTTGATGACATCATTCCTGTCATATGATCATTGAAGCTTTTTTCAAAACACTGTAAACTTAAAGTCGCGTCTATCGTCCTTCAGGAGGCAGAGACACCTGCAGAGACAAATGTGGAGCCAGCACCACGTCGTTCCTGTACCTAGCGCTCCTGATGTCCCCCGGGCTGGACGTCTCGATCTCGGGACATATTTTTTTCAGCATGTCGCAGTACTTCTGTGTTTTGAACTGCGTGGGGCAGACGATGGCTTTACACCCGACCTGCAGGAGGAGGAGGAGGAGGAGGAGGAGGAGGAGCAGATGAGGAGATAAAGTGTCTGCGCGCCACATCAGTAAAAACCAGAATGTGACGGAGTGACCAACCTTCTGCAGAGCGAACTCCAACTCCTGCTGCTGGTACGCCGGGTTCACGGCCACCTGGTAGTTGTCAAACGACAGATTTGATGATTATTGAGTAAATTTGGTTACGTGAGTGTGTTTCCCACATTTAAACTCTTTGGACTAATATATAGTTTCACGTCTGCTGATCAGCGTAGTTTTGGAACATCTTCCCGACTCTGCTTGAGCTCACCATGATAATTCCCGCTTTGGCCGTTGCAAACTGGAACAGGATCCACTCGTAGGTGTTGGGTCCCCACATGCCGAGCCGGTCGCCTTTCTTCAGGCCAAGTGCCAGAAGTCCGGCTGCAGCCTGGTCCACCTACAATCACACGTCCATTAACGGACGGAGCAAGACTCCGTCCAGCAGATTTCTGTTTACACGACATGATCTCTTCCAGTTTGACCTCATCACTGTGATACTGTCTTTATGAAACTCTACAAAATAAAGCAGTTTCAGTCAAAATATAATTTTTCCAGACTCGCAGGAGGCCACTGTGACCTGTGACCTTTGCCCACTGAAATCTGATCAGTTCATCTGTGAGTCCAAGTGACAACTGGTGAAAACGTGAAGAAGCTCCCTGAAGGCAGACCTGAGATCTGTTCACAGGATCAAAACATGTTTTGTGAGAGCTCAGCCAACATTCCTACCACATCTGACATTTGAGTCCCAGCAGGTGTTTTTAAGATAACAAACTGTTTCTCGTGTTCAAGAGGCCGAAAAACTTCAAACCACAGCGACCTTTGACCTAGAAACTGTCGTCTTTGAGTCCAGTGTTTCTGGGACGGACAGACGGACGACCCGAAAACGTACGAGGTCTTGAGACTCCGCAGGAAATGTTATGATGACCATAACCAAGCACTTTTTTTTTTTTAAATGGTTACTGCACTTTATTTTGAAGATAATTAATAAATAATTATTTCTGAACCGATGAGTGAATTCTGGATTTCATGACACATCGTTCTCTCATCAGAGCAAAGTCTAAAAGTTCAACAAACAGTGAGTCATCACTTTCACAGTCACTGACGTGTCCTCAGTCACCTTTAACACAGAACTTATCTAAATGCAGAGATGGTCCAATGTCCGTATATTATATATTGTACTTTATCGGAGTATTTCCAATTGATGCAACTCGACTTTTTCTCTAAACTACATTTTTAGAATCCGCAACAATTCATTTGGCTGTTTCAGTACAGAAATGGACCTTGTAAATAATTTTGATTTTGAAGAAACTTATAAAGTTTGTGATTGGTGATCCACCAACTCTAAATGCTGCTTTCAAACTAGTTGGAAACCAGAGTGACACTGAAAACTCCTCATATCAACAGATTACTGCACACGGATGATTTAACTGGACTAAAACTCCACAACGCTTGTTAGCGGTGTTTCATTCTTTTCTTGAAAGTTTGGGAGCTGATGTCATCCGACACTTATTCCTTTAGAAAAGAAAAGTTGTGCTTCCAAGAAAGTGAAACAGTCACTTATTTAAACAAAGTCTAAGATTGATTTACAGCTCCTTCCACTTCCATCACTTTTTAGGTCTCGGTTTATATATGTTAAATCATTTAAAGATCTCTGTAATAGCTGGTGTATTTGCGGAGCTTGAAGCTTTTAGACTTAACATGCATGATACCTGTTTAACCTGATGAAGGTCTGTTGCTGTAATAAAGTTAAAGTTTACTACTTTGCTTTTCTTCTACAGCCCAGAGGCCTTGATCCCACTCACCTGTCACTATGAATTCATGACGTGAGCAGTGAGTTTACTCTGGATTATGATCTGCACATTTTAATCTCACACAATAAAGCACAGAAATATTTGAAAGGGACACGTTGAGTTTGAGTTCGTTAACACGTGAGTCTTTAGTTCATGTGAATGTTCTTGATGGACACTCACGTCCTTATGAAACTCTGCGAAGGTCTTGCGGACTCCGTCTTGCAGAAAGACCATGGCCTCTCTGTCGGGCCAGCGCTCCACCGACCTCAGCAGAGACTCCCCCACTGTCAGGTGGAGCAGAGACGTGGACGAGGTGCCGTGGGCATAACTGGTCGTGAGAACTGGGATGATGGGCACAGAGTCCACATGGATTCCACTGCAGGGAAACACAGGTTAGAGAATGTCTTCACACACAAGCAGACGTGCTGATGTAACTTTCTGTAAGCTAGTTTATGAATATGAAATGAGTTCTGAATGAGTGTACACACATTCTAAATTGTGGAGCACTTTGCGTTTTCTACCTACACGCTTTTAATGTTCAAATAATACATTTACATTATTGTATTAATTTATTTCACTGCTATGCTGATGACACACAACCTGACACAACCTCTGCTGAGCTGATCAGTGATGTGTGAAGTGATAAAGGTTAAAGTGCAGATTGGATTGAAGCAGGTTTGGCAGCTGTTCAACCTTTAACACAGTAAAACATTTAACAAGGAGCATGAGATAAAACCCTCACCCTCACAGCATCAGTGCAGAATCCAGGTGAAGTGTCACCGAGTTCGTTAACATAAAAAACACAGCATGTGAGTATTTAAACAGCTGATGTAGTTGAATGGATGTTTAATCCCCAAACTGACAGATGAATCTTTAAGATTGTGAAGTTTCGCAGGTATTTTTTTTTTACTTATTTCCCCCAAAATAATACAAAAGCACATTTTTTCCAAACTAAGTGAAACCAGCTGAGGAGCCCGGGGGTTCGTGAGAGGACACAGTGTTAGAGGGAGGTTCCTGAATAGCTTTGGAACATCTGTTCTTGGTGTTCCACTTCGTAGACGGTCCCTGTACATGAGCCCAGCTGATCTGATGCCACTTGTATTGATCCACGTTCGAATCCGTGAATCTGTGTTTCCAACTCTACAGAAGTGCGGAGGTTCAGTGTTGTCCGGTCTCAGAGGTTTGAAAGCTGGAGGAGCTGGTGGTTTAACAATGGGACATGAACTCAGGCTGAACAAAACAGCAACCCCCTCAACTTAAAGCCCCCCCCCCC